TTCAATTTTGGTCTAAAAAAGAGAGAGAGAGAGAGAGAGAGAGAGAGAGAGAGAGAGAGAGAGAGAGAGAGAATTCTTTTATCAAAATGTCCTTTCGTTTTCTCTTAACGCACTTTACGAGAGAGTATGTGTAAGTACTCTAATTCTCAACTAGCCTCTAACCGACCACATGTTCGACGATTGCTTGCGTTAACTTTAAGTCCTGGAGCACCTACGGCAGATGCGACCAACGCCGACGGCGCGAGGGAGCTCTTCAAATCTTTCCTTTTTCTCTCGACTGCACCTCGATCGTTCACTCGGCTCTTCGGTTTCGAGGCTGTAATTTAGCGCAGTTTCGACGTCGTGTAATGGAAGAGAGATTCACGTACCACACTTGGCGAATAAGCGTCCACTGAAGGGACGAGAGGGAGAGATGCGCCATCAAATTGGGCTTAGCGAGTTGCAACCGCTAAAGAGCCGGATCGAGAGAAGAAAGCTAATATCGCGTCACGCCGGATTGTTGCTGTAAAGCTCGAAAACGTAATAGGGAAAAACAGCTGCCAGTTGCAATCAGAATAAATGATTCATGTTTTTCATATACGCGCGTGCGATTAACGGCTCCTTGGTGCAATAACTAGACAATTCTATTTTTTCCTTGATATATACTCTTTTCTTTGCTTAAATTATAAAATCGGAACTTCCTTAGAATATTGAATATGGAGTACATTAATGCATATGTATATATGTGTACGTGTGTGTATTATCAGTATTCAGTATCTAAATATTATCACCATTACTGCAGTATTACATTATGATAAAGAATGTTAATATTAAAGTAAAACCATTACAATTATTTAATACATCTAAATTTCAAACATTTTATTTATTCTAGGTACGATATATTACAATGCAATATATTTATTTATTATGATTGCTATTATATATAATTTAATCTATTATATAAGTTTAAATAATCTTATTAATTTCTAAATTGAAGACGATTCGTCACCTTTATGTTTTAATATTTAAATATCATGTTACTCGTAAAAGAGATAATACGTATAAAGACTAAGAGATTTTATGATATCATACGAGTGACTATTCTGCTTCTATTATGATTACAAATCGCATCATGTAGAAAATCATAAAGAAACTCTTGGTGCATAGAGATTTTTTATTCGTTAATTTTCTTGTCGATTTTATTTATTTGGAATGTAATTTTTATTTTATGTTACATTTCCATGACTAATGCAATTCCAGAACTTGTAACGGTGAACGATTTCAATAGTTTATTTATGAAAAGCTTGGAGATTGATATTTTTAATTCCGCTCTCCTTATTTTTACTAGAAAACAGCTAGATTAATATTTGTATCTTTTTAATTTCATATTTCGATTAAACACAAAGATGCAAATTTCTACATGAAGGGTAGTCTTCATTGGAAATTGGATTTGCGATGCTCGCAAATTTTCTCTAAATAATCTCACAGAAAACGTACTTATGGCTTACGAAAAGATACTAGTAAGATGAAATTGCATTTGACATATAATCGATAATTCACTGTTCTCGTGAATTTCTTATTTTTAGCAGACGCTACCAGTCAACGGTTGGAAAAAGAAATTTTGTGTATAAAGAGAGCGATAATACTCTTATTTGTTGTACGTTACATTCCAAAATCCCGCTGTATTAACGTGGATTAACATCGCCGTTTATCTCACGGCGTTCATATATGTTTAATCGCTCGGACTTTTCTAGAAACATAATCCTTACAAAACGGCTTTGCTTTTGCGTGGTCAGCGAGAAAGCGATCGTATAACCAAATGTAAATTCTAGGCACGTATAATCCCCAAATCTGCGAAATCCCCGAAGGTACAATACCCTTCCTTGCAGCTCCAGGAATAGAGCTGGTTATTATAAAAATGTATATCGCGTTTTTACCTATTTAAGTATTACTTGCGTGGTATATCTGTGCCATGATAGATATTTTTAAATTATTCGAATAAGTATTTATAAAAGTATTAATATACTCTAAAAATATAGATGTGGATTTAATACCATGTGGTGTTTATATAATTCTCACCATGTTGATATTAATGTTAACATGGTGTGGATTTAACATTGCAGGGGATTTAAATCCGTATCACATGATAGTGTTGATATAAACATTAAGAATTTTTAATCTATATATCATGTTAGTACTAATATTAACACCGACACAAAGCTCTTACAGGAACATTGCATGGCAAAGTAAAATAGGTTCTGATCTTTCAAATATCGCTTTAACTTTCTAAACTGTTCAGTGTTGTCTTTGATGATTTTGATAGCGATACGGTTTTGTATGCTCTAAAAAATAAAATTATTAATAATTAACACCAACACGATGAGAATTGTAGACTGGTGTTAAACCCACACTTATACTTTTTAGAGTGTACAGAACCATAATGGTCCCACTACCAAAATCATATAAAGACCGTACACAGAAGTTTTAGAAAACAAAAATTAAAGCAATGTTTGAAAGATTAGAACCTCTTTTACACGCCGTGCAATGTTCCTCTAAGAGAGATTTGTGTTATCTGACTTTCTAGTATCGACATATCGATGGTCTAATCTTTAATCTCGAAGCGTCGCGCTGGATGGCAAAATTTTAAGCGACGTCAAGAAAGAGAGAGATATCGGAAGCACGTCTGGACGCTACGTAGCTTATCTTGCCGTTATTCGCGTTATCCCTTGGCTCTCCGGCGAATTACTCGAACCCAATCGGGCGTACGATCGGCGGTGCGCGACACAGGATGGTGAGAAGGGCGCGACGTGGGAGGAAGGGAGACGAAGAGAGGATGCCTTGTCGTACCTCTCGCTCTTCGAGAGACACTCTGAGCAAGAGAGGGCGCCAGATGGGTGATCCTCCGAGGATGGTTCTCGTAGGGATGACTGATCCGCATAGTCATTTCGGCTTAGCAAATAACAAGCAAATATCCAAGCTTAATACAGAAATGCTGTGGATACTCACATACATTTACGCATTATATATTTATGCACACATATTATTGCACATATATTTATGCACACATAGAAAAATAGAACAAGAACAAGATCCACGTATGAGTTGATATAAATGGAACACAGGTTAACGAATGCTGAAACTTTTATTTATCTCTTAATTAAAAGAAAAAAAAAGACAATTTAGCAAAAGCTGTAACCGGTTGGGAGACAGTAGAACGGAGACAGAGCAATTGCGGCGAAGT